ACCAGCGGATTAAAGGGAAGCCTTTAGGGCTCTCAATTGCATAAGAACGTCCTCGCGATCACGACGATTCCACTCTCCGGACCAGCCCTTTTCCTCGCGGCGGCCCCAGTATAGGCTGCGATCGGTGTAATGCCTGCGCTCGCCCTCGTCGACGCTGTGTGACCGGACCTCGTCTTTAACGACCGGTGTTTTGGGAGTAGCGCGGACGGAAGCCGAGCGGGAGAACTTGCGGGGGAGGAGGGGCGTCTCGTCTGAGACTTCTTCCTCAAAGGCGGGGAGAGGCGCAGGTTTGGGGACGGGAGCGAGGACGGTGTCGATGCTGCAGCTGCGGCGTCTGGCGCGGCGGGCCGGCACGGAGGACACGAGCTCGGGGGGGACGTTCTCGCCAAATGTGCGTGCGAGCTTGGCCATGCGCTTCCGCCGCTCGTCGGGCTTGCGCTCCTGCACGGGCGACACGGGCGACAGCGGGCCGCAGTCCGTGGGGAGGGCGGTGGTGTGGATGCGGAGGACGAGGGCGGGACCTGTGCCGGGAACGAGTTCGAGGGCCATGTGGGAGGCGTCGTGGACAAAGTGGCACTGGGGCGTTGTGCCGAGGACGGCGCCAAGCTTGCGGGTGGAGCGTAGGAGGCGTGTGCGTTCGTGGTGGGTGAGGGGAGCCATGCCTGGACGGAAGGGCCTGCGAAGTATATAAGCACCACTCGCCATTGTTCTAGTTATACCCGGCACCGCATGGCTCTTACGTCATGTCCGCGTTTGGGTTGATTGCGGGTTGAAACACAGGGTTGGCACGCATCCCGCCCACTACGCTTTGCGTGACGTCGCCTAGGTGAAACCAGCGCGCAACACCCGCCCTCCGTAACAACCCCGATCACCACCGACTTCTCCGCCTCCGGTCCCGACCCCGACGCGGAGTGAGCATAGTCCCGACGTGAGTCCAGGCTTTTGTTCTGAATGCGGAAGGTGTTCATTATGCCTCTTGTCCTGCGTTTGGATGCACATTTGAATGCGAAGCACCTCACAGTTTAGTCTACGTTTGGATGCTCTTATTGCATTAGAAGCCTCGTGCCGGGATTGATCCTCCTCGCTGATCAGCACGACGTCATCTCATGCCCTTATTCGCGGCTTGCAGTCGCCTATTTTCTCGCTTTTGATCACCGGCTCCCACTCCCAACGGGGACGTCAATCCCTGCGCCGCCTCGACCCGGATGTTTTCACCCAACATCTCAGCAATAATCGATAATCCGATTCTCAATCCGGCTTCGACAGCTGTAACCTTCAATGACGTGGTGCCTGCTCAGCGACACGTCGTCAATCCCATGCACCTCCTACGGTACCCCCATCTTACCTCCGTTCACTGACACTTGTCCCCGTCGCGAGAAATCTCCTTTCCTCATTCCGGCACTCCGATTTCCTCGTCGTCCATGCTGCGCCTTTTAATTTATTCATCAACCACGTGCAAGTCCACGTCAACTTCGCCACGCCCACTACGGGAGATTTCTTTCATTTCGATTCCCATCCTTGCTTTGGAAGCACTTGTCCCCATCGGCAGCACATCTAGAACATTCTGCACCCCCTCTAAGAGGGCCGTCGGTCTCTCCAACCTCTTGCGTTAAGCAATCGTTCTGTACAATAACCACGCAGCGAGCCATCCAATTTCGGTCTAGTAACCTCGCGTTACGCCTCACCGCCCGGCCCCGTCTTACTCTGGGCCGTTATGGGTGTTCACTCTGCTGCGGACATTTTCCCTGTCCTCGGAGCTCGATGCCCCCCATACGCACTAGCAAAATTACTCGCCTAATCTACACGTCAAAGAGCACAACCACCCACCGTGTTTAGCATCCATACGTCGTGGGACACACTCCAACACTCCGTTTCCTCGCTCTCCCCCATGCTTTTGACACTCTGGTCCTTTCATTGTTGGCCCCACAATATTAGTTCATTCTTTGTCTTCATCTCCCTTTGTTCGTTGGCAGCCAGTAACGTCAAGTCGGCGCATTGCTCATGTACAAAGTCACGGCGAATTACTCTTTACACATCCAAATTTTACCTATTTCGGTGCAGTAACCTCGCGTCGACGGATCATCCACAAACTCTCACCCCGCCCCGTCCTACCTCCGACACTTGCGAGAAATCTCCTTCACTCGATTCCCGTCCTTGCTTTGGAAGCTGTTGTTAATCGATGACTGCGTTGCATCTGCACAGTTTCATTTCCCTTCCGCAGTTTCACACGCACGTGCCGGTCTTCCCGGAAGGCCATCAATGCCTTCCTCAGCGCCATTGTCACAAAACCTTCCAGACTGCCCGCCCCGCCTTAGTTCCGACCTGTGCGAGAAAGTTCACTCTCTTGTGGCACCTCGATTCCCGGTCCTCGGCTTCCTCTCCGCCGCTTTTCAATTCATTCATGCTCACTCCAAAATCCCACTTTTCTCCACGGAGCCGAGGAGGACTTGCCGGAGAGCAACAAATCCAAAAGAACTCTAGAGTCTGGACGCCATCAAACTTGGACGCAACGTGATAGTGTCGCCAAAAGCGGAGCTTGACGCCTCCTGCGTCGATTCACGTCATTGCGAGCCAGCCCCTACCGTCCATGCTTCGTTCGGACGTATCCTCGCATCGACCCTCACCTCCTCGTCTTTGATACAAGTGCATCCCGTTGGAGTGTTTCTCGCGACAGGACCCCCTCGGTCTGTATCAGTGTCTTCGCTCGCTCTTTGTGATAATTCCTCTACTCACTGATTCGCGTTCGTCTCGACATCCATGATTCTTTGTCCACTGTCCATTTCATTCCCTACTACGTGCCCAAGATGATCTCACTAGATGCAATGTGTCTAATTCCAGGGAATGGGATTTCGGGCGTAACAGGCTAACGAAATTCTTCTTTACGATGCCGTTTCGTTGTGAGGCATCGGCGCGTAAGTATCTATTGCCCGGCTGGCTGATGTGACCACCCTTCTGGCTACCGCTGTCAATAAATGAGAAAATGAATAGGCGCATAATTCTTGCCCAGAATGAAGGATAACAAGAACTTCTGAATCAAGTACAAAAGCTCAAAGGTAGCCATGTGGAGACCGAGGTTACGAGAACAACATTGTGAATGGGATGGCGGCGGCGCATGCCAGCGGAATTTACCCATCAGCATCCTTTGTATTTTGATACATTGTTTCTTGACATCGAGAACCTGACACCAGGTGTTCAACGTTCATTCCTTATTCGAAGAGCGGCAGACAATCCCGATGCTTGAACGTTGAACGTTGTATAGATATCCATAATAAAGTTACACAGCACACACGAAAAACAGATAAACAAAACAACACCATCCAGGGAGGACGAGAAAAGACACAAAAATAAATTAACTAGCGATACAATCCGACACTTGCAGCTCTATGATGAATGAAAGTGCGAGAGAGGGAGACTCGAGAGGATGAATGAGTGGGTGAGTGGGTGGGTCGTGGATGTGGGTATGCAGTGGGTAGCGCGCTGGGGCAAGGAGGGGTGGGTCGCGCTCTAGATTTTTCTATATCTAGTGCTGAAAGGACCGTCAGTATTCCACGGAGGCATGAGAGAGTGGGACGGGACTTACGCATAGCAATGCAATGCTTAGAAGCAGGAGAATCGCGCGGTGCGGCAGCCAGCTGGGTCGGGCTGGGCTTCAGGTGTTGGTTCCCGAGCCTGGAGATAAAAAAGGTGAGACGGCGGCCAAGATAAAAGCCAGCAAAGGGAACGTACGTCGACTTCGGGTACATCGGCTACGGGAACAGGTACGGGTACCGGTTCAGGGATCGGTGTGGACGCGACGAGGACAGTCACTAGAGGCAAGATGTAGTCAGTAACCGACGCGAGGCACAAGGGGAGGGAAAAGAAACTCACGCGAGCTCAACACCAAAACGACCAGTGAAACACAGCGCATATCGAATTATGTAGTGTTTAATTGTTCGACAAACTTGAAAGAAGAAAGCACCGGCGGGAGGAGAACAATAGAGCCCCTCTCCCCATCTCGAGGGCGTTTATATGAGGGAGGAAAAAAGCACAAAGCTCAAAGGGAGTTCCAAATCCGGACGATACCTTGTTACGATGGCAGGAGAAAGGCTCGGCCGGATTTGGCACAATGTTTGCATTTGGGTTCTGGAGATGGGAATGATGGGACGGGAGGTTGGGATGTGGCGTGTTATGTCCGCTGGGGGTGGTGACGGGACTAACGAACTGCCTGTATTGGGAGGTGTCTCCTTAGCTCGGGTCATGTAGTGCAATGGCCGGGACCGCGAAAAGCGACGCACGGGATACCAAGACCAAGGTGGCCCTTGAAGAAGTCCTGGCCTCGCCTCAGGCTCATACGTAGTCCATAGACAAGGGCGTTCCCCCGCGCAGTTGAAGAGAAAGAGAAACTCTGGACCACCAGGCACCGACAAGTTCACTTTCCGCCAAGTAGCACCAGCTGAGCAGTGGCGAGTAATTATTTCATAGTAGTGGCAGGCCTAGGATTACCACACAAGAGGGCCGTTAGGGCGGGCAATGTAGGACACGCGAGAAGAATGATCATGGAGCGCAACGCTGGAAGGTCGCATCAGAATTTTTGACAGTAAAACTCACCAAACATTGTCTTCTCTAATTGCCATAGCGCTACAATGCTGAAATGGAAATGTGATGAGGTTATCTGAACTTTGCGCTGACTTGGCAAGTTCGAGCTCGGTCAACCGATTCAACCAAAGACGTCGGGGTGAGCATGAACTGATGACAACGGCACAATAATGTTCTTTGGAACTAACGCACTTCGTCGATATAGCTTTCTCGACGGTGACTGTGATAGTAAGTGTTATGCGAAAGTAACACAACATTCCTAATCGAGAAAACGTAACCTAGAAAAATAATCAACTGCCGGACTAGTCCCAGGACCCAATGTTCCCCCTGTATCAGCATTTGCGATAGACCATTCTCCAACACGCTCCACCCAAATAAAAGGTTCGAGGCGGGCCGTGGCTGAAAAGTGCGGCCGAAAAATATATTGTCGGTAGCTGGAATCGAACCAGCGGCTCTTCGGAATGATATAACCACAACGAAGTGATTTAACCCCTAATCGATACCGACATTCCCAGGTTCTGACATTCATACCATTTATTCATCTGAACCACGGAACAAAATTGCATAATAACCTTCAGCTCCAAGTACAACAATAAAATTATATCACACGAAAGATCCTCTTTAAAGGTATTCCCCCATCCACTGGTATTATCATAGTCCTGCATCCTTTTTCAATCGGTCCCATGCTTGGCTAAGAACGCTCCTCCTCGTGCACTTCTGAATGAGTGTCTATCTCCTCCCATTGATAGACCCCGACTGGGAAACCCACTCTCATCAACGACATCACCTTTGGAACCGAGTCTCTGGGGAAATGACTGACCCACAGGTGACACCAACGACTGCGATTGCGAAGACGTCCCAGAAGAACGCGACTTGGACTTTGAAGACTTCTTCTTTATAGGGAGAGACGAAGGCGTGAGACTAGGCAGACGGGCTGTTGGAGCGAGCTGCTGGCTGTGGTACCGAATCTGCGAAGAGGCGTCCGACGAAGTAAGTCGCGAATCGGACCCGCCGCTGCTGCCATGGTGCTCTCTCCTGCCGACATACATTCCTCCGTCAAGGTCTGCACCGTCGTCTGCTTCAGTGTCAACATCTGGATGAGACGGAGGCGGCGTGCTGTAGAACCCGGGAGAGGGAATGTGTGGGTACTCTCCAGTGACAGACCCACTGCCCTGAAATCCCTCAAACTCCTCGCCATCTACAGATCCAGCAGCCAGAGCCTGCGCGAGCCGCTTCATCTCCTTACGCTCTCGTCTTCGCTTGCGCCGTTCCTCTTTCGCGCGCCTTTCCTCCTCCTCTGCTGTCCGCGCTCGCTCCTGGAGCTGTTCCGGAGTCATGCTGTCTATCGCTGCCGAGTCGAGCGGTGCAGCGTCAGAGTCAAAACCCGTAGAAGACGACCTTGACGTGGAGGTGCGCGAACGGCGAAGGGTGTTGTTATCCTCGTCTTCGTCAAGATGAATGGGGGGTTTCGGTTTCCCGAAGAGGTTGAACCCGAAGAATGTTATACGCCTGGATTGTCGCTTTTTCTTCCTTCTGCGGTTGCTGTCACCGATATTCGAGTGCAGAGACAACGTCTCAGCCTCCGTGTCAGTTCCCGGATCCTGCAGCAAGTGTTCGAGGTTTTGGGGCAGCCGCTGATAGCCGCTGTTGGTGGGGTCGTCATGATCATGAACCTCTTTGGCGAGGCAGGGCATACAAGCGGATATCGCAGCATGGAAGGAATCGGACCAGGAAAATGATTCCATGGCTGTAGTAGGAAGGAAGAGAAAAAGTCGTATGTTGGTTGAGGTTAGAGCTCAAGCGCATGATAAAGCCGCGTGGCCCGGAGTTGCCGATCGGGTATTCAAATGCATCGCTTTTGGCCTTCTTTAGATGTTCGGGCCCGCGTGCAGGGCGCAGCCACCCGTTCGACTTTAGGACATCAGGTCGGGATCACCGTGAGGGCCTTATCTTTCCATCACAGTAGCTGCAAAGATAGTATGCGAGATAAAGGATTTCAAGTTGCATTCCCGGCCTTGTGCTCGTTGACGTTGGTGCTCAACGCGACTTGATCCCAGCAGCACTAAAGTACGCATTACTGCCATCGTACTAGCCAAAACAGCTCAGGGGCTTGTAACAAACCGCGCAGTGCACCTGACGCGTATCCTTTTGCAGCGACCTGGAGGGAGGTTCTGTTGGTGATAGTAATATGAGTCTTTCATATATAACTTGATAACAAATATAATACAGGCACATCAGTATCCTTCTCTACCAGAGCGTTACTCCTGTACCAGACTTTCGGAGAGCATTGATGCGAGACAGGGTATCCGGTCTAAGCTCACCTCCTCCCCGAATGCCTATAACAGCAGACTTCAACGGTCGCTTTTCCAACACGTCCAAGATTGCACCCTCATCTACCTGGTCCGACCAGACGAGCTGCAGATGCTCTAGCTCCTGCAGCATCTCTAGATCACCCAGTTCTTCAATGAACCGAGGGGAAATGACCCTGAGACGCATATCAATACGCTCGACGATGGACAACCGTCTGAGTTGTGGAACTGCATGGAGGAGGGAGAGCATTTCAGGATGTCCAATGATAAGCGTATTCAATACGAGCTCCGTGAGAAGGGGGGACTTTGAGAGGTATTTTGCTAGATCACAAATTGTGTTCCTTATATCATCAGACTCGCTGCTATTCGTGCAGTCGATATCGATGAGCTCCAAAGACGTCAGACGGGGCATTGAACCCATCCAATGAAAGGCTGGGAGGCAGCCATGGAGAACGAGCGTTTGGAAGGGAAGTTCGGCATCTTCAAATGACAGATAGCCACATCTTCTGAAGGTCGCAGTTGTGGCATTAGTGTAGTTGTGAGTCCGCGACGGATAGGCGAAGGAAGGAACATTCGCAAAGTATATGGTAGTGATTTGTTCTTTCTGTAAACAGAACCACGTGCTATGGAAAGCATTGAGTGCAAGGGTATGCAGTTTCGGAGCATGTTCGAAGAGCTTGATTGCATGCATCCCAGAGTATTCTATGTCGTCTGAAAACTCGAGGTGTTCGAGTTCAGGAAATTCGGGCTGGATGTCCTTTCGGAACGCATGCCACAAGTGGGCGGTCCGGGAATCGATGCCGATACGCTTCAGTCGTTGTAGATTCAGCGCATCGGGGTTGTAGAAGAGAGAAGTCACAGCATGACGCGACCTCCGTTGCACGTCCTCGTAACTGACTCCTTCTTTGAACTCCCCGAATTCCACGGACATCTGGAGGTTCAAGAGGCGCGTGCCAGAGCGCTGTCTGAATAATTTTGTTACACGGGGAAACTGTAGGGAGGCGCCTCTGTGGTTGATATTGGCGAGAACGGATGTCCAGAGCATGGGGGATGATATGCAGACGTCACGCCAATAGGCACAAACGGAGGAAAGGTAGAAGGGTGTGGTGGAGACCAGTGGTAAGTCATTGCGCGAGAGAAAGGCGTCGTAAGATACGGAGGTACAGATGAATTGGAATATTTCAATGAGTACATCACGAGGCAGCCTGCGAATCGGGGACAATAGGGATTCGAATTTCTTCGAACATCTCGCAAGGGATTGTCGACTGGCTTTGAGTTTCTCTAGCGTGGTATTCAGTCGAGACACCTCGACATCGTACTCTGATATCTTCTTCTGCAAACCGATGATAGTACTTGAACAAAGTTCCGTTTCTGATCCGTCGATCTCTCGCCCGCTGCGTAAGTATGCGTCGGCATCAAGACGTAAGGAAGGAGCCTGAGTATCAAATGATTGGCCGCAGTTGTTGCATAGCTGAATGGGTTCCATTAGGGATAAAGACTAGAAATGTGTTTCAGTAAGCAGTCCGAGAGTAGTAACGAAGGCACACCTACATCCACGTCTCCACTTGAAGTTGATTTCGTAGGACCATCCAATATTTGGTGTGACTTTGAAGATGGAAGTTATGTGACTGAAGAGAAGAAAGAAAAAATGGATACTTATGCATGTGTCGCGCCAGAATTTATTACCGAACTTTTGCTTGTGACTTGAACCTGAGACAAGAGCGAGACGTGGCTGTGCTCGCCATTGTACAGATCCGATCCGGCGGTTCCCTTTTTGGACATGCACACCATGCCGCGTCCACTGGGCAGGTCATTTTCATGCTCCTGACGCGCCAAGAAGAAAGCTTTTGCAATATTGCTCATTCCTTGCTCATTCACAACGGGCACGAAGTGTCCGACCCCACTCGAAATGAGCGAGAGCTAGGACTAGACCCGTGACCAGCAGGCAGGCAAGTATGCCTTCATCGACGCGTCACAGGTCTAAGCTACATTATTTGGCGTGATCATGGAATCATCGACGCTTACTCCTCGGTGCGCCGGAAAGAGGACATGCTCCGCGGGCACCAGAAGTTGATCTGCTGATTAGTATCTGCACAAAAAGAGCTGTTGTAACCATTTTTCTATCAGAATTACTTGATTTTTAGTTCTGATGCGACTGGTCTGTCTTCAGGCTTTTCTATACTCAATCCAGAAGACTTTCACAGTAGATAAATCGATGTGGCACAGCCGTCTTCGAGGTGTGTATAGTCTTGACTTTTCCCAACCCGCTAAGCGATTGTTAACTTCAGCATAAACGGAACAAAAATTTAACTTTGTAGCATCGGTCATTTGTGATCATTGGTATTGTTCTTCCGACGTTTACAGGCTAGCCTTCACGTCTCCCTTAACACTCAAAATGGAGTCAATGGTGCTGTGCTTTGCTGCAAGCCGAAAATAATCACCGCTCTGCCTTTATTTGTCTTCACCGCTAGGTGAAATATTTTTGCCGACTCGTTACATTTTTCGAACAAATTTCGACAACTTCATCTCTTGTCCTTGGCTCACGCTCTACTGGAAGCAGACGGCTGCTATCTTGGATGAGGGTCTCTTCGTGCAATTTCTGTGGCCAACTTAGGCTCTGCTTATCCCTCGTCTGTGAACCTGCCTGAGCCGATCGGCTGCCAGAACTTGGCGGTGAACCGTGAGAATGGATACCGATGAGTCTGTAACCAAATTTTTTTGCGGCCATTATCGATCCGTTATTCTTGCTTTGAGGAGTTGTGGCTGTCATTCCTTCCCTTCAGTTCACGCAGCTTTCTCTCAGAATCTAAAAACGGCTCCGCGTGGAACCTATGTCCCACTTTGAAGTGTCTATCTTCCCCATCCGAATGAACTGTATTACTTCAAATTCGCTCAGCGATCTTCGTAAGGTTTTATGGGGAAGTCACAAGCACATAGTTGCATGCACCAAAACATCTCCTAATCCCAGGCCGCTGCGTGGTTTGTACAACGGAACGCGAATTTGTTGGTCGAACGATAAAAGTATGGGACGTTTGCTCTACTTAACATCTCTGTTCGAAACTGATGTACATCGTTTGACAGTCGCGAACTACGGAAGAATGAAAGTAATCGATCCTGAAAGTGATCTTGTTTAAGAGTTATAGAAGTCAATGATTATCCTAACCAGTTGTACGAAGCCAACTACCATGATCCAACAGG